AAAAAAAAAAAAAAAAGCCCAATTAAAATTATTTCCAGGTTATGGGGCACCTGGGTGACTGCTTTCCCTTTCTTACTATGAAATGGGTTTAAACTACTATCAGATTCCATGACCAACAACCTAATTGGTTCAAAAACACACAAACCAGCGCTAAACTACAAAACTAGCTTGACACTCGAGAAATGTCATAAAGTAAAAAGAAAAAGTCCCCAAACAAAAAAACACCAGCTAACGGAAAATAAACACAAGCATTAAAAACTACATACCAAGAAACACCACCACAAAGTGTCCCCGAACCAACTACGGCCTTACAGCACAAAAGCCCAACCGGCCAATAGCCTTAACTTACCATAAAAGCCTCCTAACCCATCACGACTGAAAGGAAGCAAAACCACTCAGACTGTGCTCTCTCCCTCTTACTCTCCCAAAGAGAGAGAAAGAACGATCATCAATGGCAATCAGCAACTGTAACGACAGCACCAAAAGCCAGCTTCACGCTCAGGAGAGAACACTTCGCCTCCTCCTCGTGGTTTCGGGTACTCTACACATTCAGAGAAACTTCTCTAGTAACAAACTATAGAAATGATCCCTGAAAGTATAGTCTTGACGGCAAATGACCCAACTTTCCAGAGTGAAAGAAACCCACATACATTACACTGATGGTGAAGTTTTTTTTTTCTTTATTTAAACGTCAATAATTTTTCAGGTGTACACTGGTATGTGTTTAACAAAGAATTATTCATTACCAAAGTTCGACAAAGCGTTTTTAAATAAATTGCATTTCAGAAGACAATTCAAGTCATCACCTTGATTACCATACAGTTGATAAGCAGCCAATCACACGCCATTTTTTTGCAACCTCCACCCCCGTTGCCGCAGCGTCAGGTTTAGGTGAATGATGACGACTACAAAGCGCGCCGGAAGTCCAGGATGCGCCTCAGTTTAGACCAACCGTGTAAGTGAGGAATCCTTTTGCGAAAAATATGTTAAGAAGTAGATGATGAAACTTAAGCCCAAAGCCAAAGACTTGCATTTGCAAAGCACTCCGTTTTTATTTTTATTTTTTGATGTTTATTTTTGAGAGGCAGTGTAAACTGAGGAGAGGCAAAGACGGGACGGAAAATCTTAAGTGGGCTCCGTGCTGACAGCAGAGACCCCATGCAGCTGGAACTCATAACCGTGAGATCATGACCTAAATTGGAGGCTTATCAGGCTGACCCACCCAGGCGCCCTACCACTCCCTGTTTTTAAACTTAATCCTGTGATCAAAATACCAGACATAAATGTTCTTTTGGAGATTTTTTTTTAACAAATGAAGGAATTTTTATTTACATAAAAGTTGTGTTTAAATAAACACAATACATAATTCTCCTGCTTAAAGTTTCAGGAGCTCTCAGCTCTTGGGCTAAGGACAATACACATAGCTTACTAGGCCGTTCACGGTCTGGCCCACAATCAGCTCTCCAGCCTTATTTTGCACCAAATTCCCTCTCACTTCAGCCATACTGAACTTAACAGCTCTTAGGCTCACCATTTTACCTTCTGCCACAGAGCCTTTGCACAAGCTGTTCTCTTACAGGAATTCTCTCCAAACCCCTTCTCAACTTAACTTCAATTCATCATTAAGACATCTGTCCAAGTGTCCTCTAAGGGCACCCTTCCCTGACCTCCTTAACTACATCAAACATCTTCTCTGTGTTTCTTTGATTAATGCCTGCTCTTTGCACAAGACTGTGTCTCAGAAGAGCAGAGACTATGAACTGCCCTTGTATACCAACAATATCCCAAACACCTAGTATCGAATAATGAATCCAAGCAAAGGTGTCAGTGCAGAGAACTGGGCAAGATAGGGGTTGTAAACATTGTAATTGGCCATTTTAAGCCATGGGTGAAAATGAGTCACAAAATATCCTACCTAAATAACAAAGAGTTGAGTATGGAGCCCTGAGGCCCACTCACATCTAAGGGGCAAGCCGAGAGGACAAAGCCAAAAAGTAGGGAGAAGGAAACCAAAAGAGGTAAGAGAAAACCTAGAACAAGTGGGTCACAGTGACAAGGGAAATAAGAGTTTCATTTAACTTTTTTAAAAAGCTTATTTATTTATTTTGAGAGAGAGAAAGAGGGGGCGAGAGAGAGAATCCCAAGCAGGCTCCACACAGGCAATGCAAAGCCCAATATGGGGCTGGAACTCAGGAATTATGAGATCATGATCTGAGCCCTCAAATGACTGAGCCACCCAGATGCTCCAGGGAGATAAGGAGGATCAGTCAACAGCATCAGAGCTGGAGAAATCTAGTAAGAAGGATCAATGTTCTTGGTGAGAGCAGTACTAGTGGGGTTCATATTTCTTATTGCTCAGGTCTCACCGTGTTACAAGTATTTGTGCCATGTCTGTCTTCTTTACCAAACCTTCTCCCCTAACCTTGAGGGCAGAAACTGCCAAATTAGTCCTTTGGTTCCAAGTAAACTTATCTGACCAACAAAAGCAAGCCTAAGGGTAGAGAAGAGCAGCAAAGAACAATGTGGGAAGACAATTCTCCCACATTCTCCGTGGATGGCTCCTGTGTCTACATGTCATGAGAGTGAGGCACTAACTACCCTGTGTTCTAGACTTTTTTTAAAGTAGCCTCCATGCCCAACGTGGGGCTTGAACTCATGACCCTGAGATTGAGAGTCACATGCTCTACCCATGAGTGAGCCAAGGCTCCCCAGACTATCTTTTTGAAGATGTCTGTATACCAAACTTCGGAAGATACAGTATCTCCTTTAGAGCAAAGTGCAGTCATGCTTACTGCCCAGTGTAATAAAGATAATGGCTCTTTGTGGAGCAAAGGGCATACTGTCTATTATAGAAGATTTGGATTCCCCAAGCTCAGGATACTTCTGCTGTAAAGCAACCCACTACGTGTGCAATATTATATAGCTCTTTGCATGGCTCTGAGGGAATTAGGGCCTGAGGAACCAGGACCAAAAAAACTAAAAGTGTAGCTATTGCTGCTGCTACGAGTAATAAATTATCATTCAATTCTCTACCCAGGAATCTCATGTTTGCTGCCTGAATTGATAAACCTGTAGCAGGCTAATTTGTAAAACTGCAGACTATTCATAATTCTTGACAGGAAGGAACTACAGTTTAGGGAAGCAGACTGGTTAATCCCTGGGGTTCATGAAGTAACAAATTAAACCAACCAGGGCCTCTGAAGGCTTAGAGAAACACTTAGGGAGGCAATGAGCAACAAAGTCTTGAGAACATACAGATAGCTGCAGAGAAAAATAGGTTGAAAACCAGTGTCCCCACAACTTACACAAACAACGGCTTTTCGGTGATTTCCTAGGAGAAAACATTTATTCATTTACTCATTAATTCATTCATTCAACAAATATTTATTTCAGGCCAGTCCCACTGTAGCCATGTTGGGACTGATATAAAGGTGACCAAAGTAACCCCCCCAACAAGTGGCCAAAGGCAGCTTTCACAAAGACTGACTAAAAAGGTCAAAAGAACTGGGTTCAAGTGTTGAAGTCCTAATGACAACTTTTTTAGCCTGGGGTCTCCAGATGGGTCAGTGACCTAATTTCTGGGCCTCCTAGGAAGCAAGACCTGATATTATTTTTTTAACTTTTTTTATTTAATGTTTATGTATTTTTGAGAGAAACAGAGAATGAGAGAGAGAGCATGGGCAGGGAAAGGACAGAGAGAGAGAGAGGAAGATACAGAATCCAAAGCAGACCTCAGGCTCCGAGCTGTCAGCATACAGCCTAATGCAGGACCTGAACTCACGAACCCTGAGATCATGATCTGAGCTGAAGGCAGACGCTTAACCAACTGAGCCACCCAGGCGCCCCAAGACCTGATATTAATAACCATGTGTGCCAGGCACCATTCTAACTCGATCCTCACAACAGTACAATGGGAGGAAGATACTATTATCACTGTTTTATGGATTGAAAAAACAAGGTTTAGAGAGGTTCAGCAATTTTCCAGGGATCACAAAACAATCTGGCTCCAAAGTCCCTGCACTGCAACATATTGTCTTCCTCTCATCCTAATTCTCAGCCTTGCTGCTCAGTATTACAGAAGCCTTTAGTAACTAAACAATGCTGTCCATGGCGTTAAACACAAAGGGGAGAGAAAGTGTTAATTTCTGAGAGCAGGAAACCTCGACAGCTTTGGGTGGAAGTAGGATGATGGAGGGTAAAGGGAATGAGAGGATAAAACAAATAATGGGTGTATAGGAAGGATAGATATTTCACTCTACTCTGCAATAGTCCATGAACCAATATAAAATGGTGCCTGGGCTGAAATAGAGGAAAAAAACATGAAACTTCCTGTGAAGCCTGAAAAAAATTTAAAAATGAGAAAACATTCACAGTTGGAGAAGAGGTGGGAAAGTTGACACTTTCCTAAATGCAGTTAGGAGTATGAAGTGTTATAATGCTTGTGGAAAGCAATATGGCAATATCTATTAAATATCTATTAAAAGCTGGATCCAGAAATCCCATTTTGAATATTAAAAACCCATTATGTTGGGGCGCCTGGGTGGCTCAGTCGGTTGGGCGGCCA